AAAAAAAAAAAAACATCTACTACACTCATCTCCCCCTCCGTCGTTTTCTGTCTCCGTTCAGCGAAACCCTTTTTCAATCGCAGAGATGCAATCGACGAGCAAAACTGAAGCCGAGCGGTTGCTGGGAATCGCAGAGAAACTCTTACAAGGCAAAGATCTAAATGGTTGTCGAGATTTCGCTCTTCTAGCTCAAGAAACTGAACCCTTACTCGACGGTTCCCGACCAGATCTTGGCCGTTGTTGATGTACTCATCGCCGCCGACAAACGGATCAACAACCATCCTGACTGGTACGGCATCCTTCAACTTGAGAGTCGCCGGAACGACGATGAGCTCCTTAAAAGGCAGTATCGCCGCCTTGCCCTCCTTCTGCACCCAGATAAGAATAAGTTTCCCTTCGCCGACACGGCGTTCAAGCTCGTCGCGGATGCTTGGGCTTTGTTGTCGGATGCTTCGAGGAAATCGGCGTACGATAACGAATCGTTTGCGTTCTCGAAGGTGGATCTTGTTTCGATGAAGAATCAGAGAGAGAAAGAGAACCAGAACCAGAACCAGAACAACCCGATTCAGCGAGAAAAGATTCCTGTGAGGCGTAATCCTGCCGACGTTGGAGCGGCCGCGAATCAAGCTGGGGCGACGGCGACGGTGACGGCGACGTCGAATCAAAAGGAAGCGAACATTTGGACGGCGTGTCCTTACTGTTATAATCTATACGAGTACCCTAAAATGTACGACGGCTGCTGCCTGAGGTGCCAGAGTTGTAAGCGGGCGTTTCAGGCCGTTGCGATACCACAGTCGTCATTGCCGCCGAGCATCCCAGGGAAGGAAGCGTACTACTGCTGTTGGGGGTATTTTCCGATGGGATTTGCGATGTCGAACTCCGACAAGGCAAAAACCCTTACCATTCCGAATTGGATGCCGCCGATGTTCCCGACGAACGCTAAAGCTTGGCCGTCGGCTGATAGCTTGCCAAACGGCAGCACCGTTCCCCTGGCGGAACCTGGTGAGGCTTTTGTTGCGCCGTCGCCGGCTCCGACGCCGACGCCTCCAGTTCCAGTTTCGGCTCCGGCACCGGCACCGGTTCCCGTTCCCGTTCCTGTTCCGGTTCAAGTTCAACCTCCGAAACCGACTCTACAGAAACAGCCAACTCCAACTGCCGGAGCTACCGTCCCTAAAAAAAGAGGTAGGCCGAGGAAGAATCCTCTGCCTTAGAAACTTTTAGTATTTCTCGCATTGCATGAACCAAATCGATGAAGACTCGTCTGCATACTTTCCGAGTTTTTGTCCAAATCATGAAGCTTGACATTTATTCTGTTTGCTCTCAAATTGAAGAACAAATGGAAGGAATTGTTACAGGTAAATTCGGAAACATTAGGGTTGTTATGTAGTCTTGTGTTATTGTTTATTTTATTTTATTTTCAGGTTTGTTGATGCTTTTTGTAGAATTTTTCATAGAACCCTAACTGCATATGTAGATTTTAAAATGTTAAATTATGATGTAATTTGCAGTAAATTGATTTCTCATTTCTGCCTAATTTTCTAGACTTTGAATAAAAAATTTACGATCCTGTTTTAATTTCTTGATCAACCATCTCTATGGCTTTCCGAAACCGATCCCGTCGCACAATCTACGGGGGGGCAACTTTTTTCGGCCATACTCAAAAGCCTAGAGAAGATTGATGGACTTTGTTGAGAATTTGGGAAAGGTTTAAGGGGAAGTCAGTCTTTCAAGGATACATTTAGGGGTGTTAGGCTTAGCTTTTCACTCCTTTTTGGAAAAGAAAAAAAAAACAAAAGATGTTTGGCAAAATTAATTTTAAAAGCTACTTTTGGAGTTTTGATACAAGGAAAATGAACTTTTTGGAAAAGTCAGGAAAACCTGATTTTTTGTAACTTTTCCAAAAAGGACTTTTGTGCTGTGAAAAACTAAGCCAAACACCCCATTAATCTGTATTAAAACTTTTATTTTACATCATATGCAATTTCTTAAGAATAAAGGATGATTTTGAAGTTCAACGGGCTGTGTAGACAAAAAGATTTAGATGTTTTTTTTAAGGTAAAAGACATACGGTCTGCAGACGACATTTGCAGAAAAAAAGGGTGGAACAAACGTCTGTAGCCTATCTGGTTGTTTTTTAATGATTATATTTTGTTAAAATAGACTCTCGTTATGCTAGTCAAAACAAAATTTAACAATAATATTGTTATGATGGATATTATTATTATTATTTCCTTTTTGTATATTTTTAGAACATTAATGCCTAATGGAAATGAATATGCAAAAAGATAAAAATCATGGTTGTCAAAATCGCGATCCTGATCGTATGATCCTACGATCCTAGGTATGAAAAACGATCCGGATCGTAAACGGATCGTATTTGGGGTAGGATCGCAGGTAGGATCGTAAGATCGTAGGTAGGATCGTAGGATCGGGATCCGATCCGATCCTACCTTCCCTTATTTTATTTTATTTTTCTTTAATTTTTTTACAAATGAAATTTTTTTACCATTTTATGTCTTTTCCCTTTACCAATTTACCGTCTTTCATTTTGTGTTGGGACTTATGACTAATATTTTGAAGTTTTTATAACTTTTGAACGAAAAATTGAATGTTTGAAATATTTTTCATATTTAAAAATTATAAATTAAAATTATATTTTATCTTGTGGGGTCTTAGATCCCGATCTCGATTTTACGATCCCGATCTTACAAACTCAAAAACGATCATACGTAGGATCCGATCTTGACAACCTTGATAAAAATATAAATTTCTAAAAAAAAACACTAATTTGTTAAACGGAGAAATCATAAACAAATAAATATATAAAAATATTTGTAAACATGTTTTTAAAAAAACTAATTTTGTAAAAACTTAATAAAAATATTATAAAATACTTATATAAAGGTAATAAATGTAAAATTATAGAAAATAGATCTTTAAAAAATCAATTTGTAAATAGGATGAAATTTTATAAAAAAAAAGTACATAAAAACAAATATAAATAAGTAAACGTTAAAATAATATTTTTGAAAACTAATATGTTTAAAAACAGTTCATTAGAAAAACAAATTTAGTAAAAAAGTTAACAAAGCTATAAAAGATTTCATTAAAAATGATTAAAATAATTATAAAAAAATTATTTTTTTAAAGTTATATAGATATATATATATATATATATATAGATATATATATAGTTAGAGATATATATATATATATATGAGAACGTTCAATCGAGAATATTTTTAATTGCGAGAATATATGAAAACAAATTTGGACCACAAATTTTTTTTTTTAAATTAAAATCATCAAATAATATTAATATAAATAAAAAAAATAAGTAAAAAAATTAAAAAAACCTACAAATCAACACCATTCATCACCCAAACAATATCATCTACCACCGCCTACCACCACCACCCGTCACCTCCACCACCTGCCACCACCACCCGCCTTCACCTTCCATCACCACCACCTACCACGCACAACCCCCCACCACCCATCACCACTGACCACCACCACTCATCACAAGAACAACAACTGAATCGAGAACGCGAAAAATGAATATTTTCCACATAAATTTTATGTGATTAGATACATATAATCACATGTGATTAGATACATATAATCACATGTGATTATATGCATTTAATCACATATGATATATGTGGACAATATTTATCTTTGTGTTCTCGATTCAATAGTTGTTCTCGTGTATATAATCATATGTGATTATATGTATCTAATCACATGATTTATATAAACATCATTCTTTTTTGTCCATATAAATTATATGTGACCAGATACATATAATCACATGTGATTAGATGTATTTAATCACATGATTAAAAGTTGACAAAGAACAGTTACTGAATTGAGAATGTGATAATGAATCTTATCCACATAAATCATATGTGATTGGATACATATAATCACATGTGATTATATGTATTTAATCAAATATGATTTATGTATACAATATTTATTTTTGCGGTTTCGATTGAATAATTGGTTTTGTGTATTTAATCACATGTGATTATATGTATATAATCACATATGACTTGAGGTGGACAAGATTCATTTTTGGCTTCTCGATTCAATAGTTTTGTTTCTCTACTTAATCACATGCGATTATACATATAATCACATGTGATAAAATATATGAGAACAACTATTGAATCGACAAAGCGAAAATGAATTGTGTCCACATAAATCATATATGACTAGATTCATATAATCACATGTGATTAGATGTATTTAATCAATATGATTAATGTGGATAAAGATTTGTTTTTGCGTTCTTGATTCAATATTTGTTATCGTGTATATAATCACATGTAATTATATGTATTTAATCACATATGATTTATATAGTCAAGATTCATTTTTTATAAATAAAATCATATGTGATTAGAAACATATAATCACATCTTATTAAATGTATTTAATCACATATGATTAAAGTGGAAAAACAATTATTGAATCGAGAACGCGAAAATGAATCTTAGCCACATAAATCGTATGTGATTATATTCATATAATCACATGTGATTATATGTATCTAATCACATACCATTTATGTGGACAATATTCATTTTCATGTTCTCGATTCAATAGTTGTTCTCGTGTATTTAATCACATGTGATTATACGTATTTAATCACATATGATGTATGTGAATAAGATTCAAATTCGCGTTCTCAATTCAATAGTTGTTATCATGTATTTAATATAGTTGTTATCATGTATTTAATCATATGTCCTTTTATGTATTTAATCACATACGATTAATATGGACAAAGAACAACTATTGAATCGAAAACACAAAAATGAATCGTGTGCATATAAGTCATATGTGATTAGATCATATAATCACATGTGATTTAATACACAAGAACAATTAACGAATCGAGAATGTGGAAATTAATCTTGTATGCTTGTCTCACTAGAGAACAAACTCAATTCTACCTTTCATTGTTCACTTTACTGGATTAGGGTATCTGTGAACAATAACATAAAACAGCTAATGCCTACATAATAGGAGAGTTAGTGTAACTCACCTCCTTAAACTTGAAAATTAGCTAGCGTGAGCTAGATGGTTCCTTTCTTTTCAGAGAACCTACACAACAATTATAACATTATTTAGCTTGTGCTTTATTGTATTACTCTTATAAAACTTATGTACATATTTTCTTATTTTCTCTTTGATTGTAGTGCTATGTTTGGGATCTGTTTCTTACCTTTCAACCCATTCTTAAATAATTTTGATAAAATAATATTAGTAAAATCCCCCCTTTCATCTTTTCAGAAATATAAAGATCTCGTTCTAATGATTTTTTGTTGATTATATTAAATTACAAGTTAGTAACTTTAAGCTGTCACTTTCTGGACCACTCAACACTCTTGGAATAAACTCACCAATACACTAAGAATTACATAAGTCCTTTATATGTGGGAAACTATACATCATATCTAACTATAGGCTTTGGAATTTTGGCATTTGGAGTTCTGATGAATTTATTATGATTTCTTAAAGACAATGCATGAAATCTATGAAAGCATGGACCAGCCTGAGAAGATTGTCCAATTTTACCCTTGAAGGAGTTGGGAATTTTGAAATGTGATTCAAAGTTTGAAGAAACTAGACACTATATGATTTCCAGAAAACTAAGTCTCATGATTTTTAGGTGTTCTTATTGACTTGCACGAATTTTAGAAGTTGGAGGACAGATTTGGGAAAATTGATCATAATAACTTTTAAATCACTTTTGTTGTTCTATTAAGGACTTAGTGGTTACACCTTAAGTTTATCACTTTTAACATGATTGTTGGTTACTTATTAGGCTATTGAGATGTGAAATTCAATTTAACCTAAGGGCCTTAACGATTGGCTTAATGAGGGTTTAAAGTTAAGAATTTTCACATAAAATGCCACTTTTACACTTATTAGGTTCTTTCAGGCAATATGACAAACACCTTGTATGCATGAAACCCTACAGTGATCATCAACTCTCTAATAGACTCCAATCCAGCCCCTAGAGCCTACTATTTTCATTTATCATACGAAACAAATTAATCAAGAAGCAACATAAGAGATTCCACTTCTTTCTTGATTCCAATTGCTGATTTCTTGTTCCAATGCCAATATCAGGCTCCCAACATGAACAAATAGAAGATAATAGTTTCCAAAATATGAACTTACATAGCTATGGAAA